GTTCCTGCTGAGACAAGGTGGAACTCTTGTTCTGGAAGACCCATGGGATAGCTGCTGTGGGGTTCTCCACTGAGACAAGAACCATAATTTTCACCACTTTGCTCTTTCAGCCTTGGGTCTCATTAGTCCCCATAGTGGCCCTTACCAGGAAATGGCAAACATTGAATGTTGGTGTCTCAGAGCAGCAGCAGCCTTTTCAGTCTCCCCTCCTATCAGCTTATTTATACTCTGTTGTGATCAACTGTTGTTGGGAAGCCACTTGCTGTCACTGAACCTCAGTTTCTACATCTGTAAACGGGGGATAGTAGCATGACCCTATTTACCACTGCCCAGGGAAGGCAAAAAAAGAGGCTAGAAACAAATTGGAATTCCTGGGACTTTCTACCTTCCTTTTCTTGGAGCTCTCTTTCCAGCTTCCCATGTCTGTCCTTTGTTAGTATTCCAGCTTGCAGCCACTTCTCTCCTTAATTCCCTCTCTGTAACGCTCCATTATCCCAGAGATTCCAGAGGTAATCCATGTTCTGAGCACAGTTATGTGTCTGTCTCCATCCACTGGGATGCTGCTCCTGAAGAAGTGGACTGTATGGATTCTAGCCCACAGCCAGCAGGATACCTATGTAAAACATTCACTCGCTTGTCCTGGGATCAATGCACAAATGAGCAGATGTATTCGTGCATTACACTTTCCAGTGGCAGCTATGGATTTTGCCAGGTGCTTCCTTGAGTAAACCGCAACTCAAAGGTGACCAAGTGTCATGGTATAAATTTAAGGTTGCACAAGAAAGTCCCAAGTAAATAAAAGGAGGCAGTGAGATAGTTTACTAATGAGGCGTCCACCTTCTCAGGCCGGTGACACGCAGCCCTGGGGACTTTCAGGTCAGATAATTGGAAAGAGTTGGTGAGGGGAGAGTGTTACTTTCAGCAGAAGGGTTGAAATTCAGAAAGAGAGAAGGAAGTACACAAGCACTGGTTAAATGTCTCTGTTTCTGTCAAGTTTAGAGTTTCATTTTCCATATAACCCACAGTTTCTCAAGCTGAGCAGACACAGAGCCTGGGTCAGAGTGGTAATGATGAGCTGGTGCAATTTCCAGATGCTCAGCCCTTGGATCTTTCCCATCAGGTGTGTGGTGGGGGGCTTACAGGTGTCAATGACCACTGCTACAGGCTTTTTCCTTATAGCTCCTCATCACCAATTAGAAATTTCCCCACTGGTCAAAAAGCAGGAAGCCATATGCTCTGACCGCTTTGCCACAGAGAAAAAGCTCATGTCATCTTTTTGTGGTCCTGGGTGCTACGTGTGCTACCCGTGGTGACATCGTTGGTGGCTAAAGTGGTTGGGGTCCATTTGGCCATCCAAGCTGCTTTCTCCTCTTCACTCCCTTCACATCCATTGTTCTTGGACATTGATCTTTCCAGAGAGAGAGAGGGCCATTCTGTGGTGAAGGATCTGTCTAACTGGCTGTCTACTGCAGGACCCTCTGAGGGGCTGGACAGGAAGCAGCATGAATTGATACCACGTGCTACAGCCATCACCACCTTGTCCATTTCCTGCCTCTCCGTCAGGTGCCCTCTTGACAATAGAATATGATGGATCAGCCTAAACATGCAATGATGGTGGTCGAGGCATAGCCAGGCCCTCCTGTTGTATTAACTATCCCGGAAGATAGTGTGGCCACCAATGAGCCACAGAGAAAGGACACGCAGGGGGCCCAGCATTTCCATCTCTACCAACTCAACTCCAATAATCTTTCTGGATGTCCCCTCTGCACAAGGCACTCTGTTAGAATATAACAGCGACTAATACTCAGACTGTGCCCTTGAGAATCTCTCAATATAATAGGGGAACTAAGTGTGAAAATCAACAATGATGCTGGAGGGCAGAGAGGACAATAATAGAATTGCGGGGGAAAGAAGATGCCCAGAGGAGGAAGTGGTTATATCTGTTCAAGGAGGTTGGTGAGGAAAGACTCTAACTGAGGGGGTTCTGCCTCTGCTGGGTTTTAAAGGATGAGTAGGAGGCTTCTGGGGAGTCCAGGTGCATTTCTGGGCAGCAGAAACTGCATGGGTAAGATCTGTAGATCTAGCTTGTTTGAAGGAGTTCAAACACTTTGGAGTGCATGCAGCCATGGAGCCAAGTGCAGGTCAGAGACTGAAGGCCACTGGCTTTACTTGAGTTTCTATAACCTTTGGGCTTACTGATAACACTGATTGAGTTGTTTATTGATTTCTTACAGAACAGGAACTCAAAGGATGTCAAACTGGGAGTTCCCATGAGGCTGTGCCAGGGTGGAGATGGCACCTGCAGGTGGAGCCCAGCTGGCCCTTCTACTGGCTGCAATCCAGCCCCGCCCCCTTCCCAACATATAAATCTTCCAGCCTCAGTGACTCACTGCTTGGCTGGAAGGGAAGCTCTGTACCCACAGGCCTGGGAACAGCAGCACTGACTGCTGAAAGGAAAATCAGAGGAGAGAATCTCAACAGGAAAGTGGCCATGGACCTGATCCCAAGCTTTTCCACGGAAACCTGGGTTCTCCTGGCTACCAGCCTAGTGCTCATTTATCTGTGAGTAACTGTCCAGGCTTGTGTCCTTTGTAACCGTGGACTTGAAATGCTAATCAGCCCCCCTTTCCCTTACCTGTTTTGAAGCTTAAAAGAGTTAACGAAGGGGAAGTTGCTTAATGTTGGGTGCCACAAACACACGAGAGGTTCTTATTGATCTCATCCAGATCTGCCGAAGGAGTAACCCTCCCACTCCCAATTTCTGTGCTTAGCGGATTTTAGTGACACTACTTGCTTCTTGGAATGACCTTCTGATTGACCACCAGTGTGAATGTGGACTAACCAAGCATAATTCATCAGAGACAGATTAAAAACAACAGACCCCTGGGCATTGGGGTCCTCACCCCCTTCGCAAGGTCTGAGGATCCCAGAGGCAGGAGGAAGTGGCTTGGGTTTTTGTCTCATTATCTTCGACTTCCAGGTTCTGTATCAGCTGCAGGAGACATGTAGAAGGACTGGCCCCTGTGTCACTCAGGTGGCTCCTGCTTTCTTCCCCCCCACCACTAGGGATCATTTACACAAGGCACCTGGGGCACTCAGACTTTGCAGGTGGGCTGGAGATTGCTCTGCCCTTCTCCTCAGACTCAGCTCTTCCCTCTTTTCTGTGGCCCTTCCCTGGGAATCCCCTTTTAAGAATCGACTTCCCTATCGTGTAATATGCAGAACTGTTTATCCCTAAATGAGAATCTTTAGAGCAGAGGAGATCTGGCAGAAATCTTCAATTTGTATTCTTTTTTTCACTTTTTCCTTCCATTCTCTGGGAGGGTTAGCATCAGTATACAGATTTCTTTTCCCTCTGGTATGATATGTGCAGGCAGCCTGCAAAGGCATGAGCCTGAAAAGCCAATTTGGATTTTAAATATTTTTCCCCTTTAAGTTACAGTACAGGAGGATGAATCAAAACCATCCGGCAGAGAATTCCTTTCAGTGGTGGGATTTCTGGTATCATGGAGCAGGTTGGGAGAGGAGTTATTCTCGACGTGTGAGTAGGGAAGGGCCCTCCTTGTCTCATTTGACCTCTGTCTCAATCTCACTTTCTGAGAGTAGGAAACCATGGACACAGATGTGAGCATAGGAAATAGAATCTGGGTTTAATTCATTGAAAGAAATGTTAGGAATTATGGGTATTTTGGCAACATATTTGCTGACTGATGACATTTTAAAGTTAATTGATGTGGTTTAATTTAATTCTATTTAATAGTAGATTTTTTTTTTGAGGCAGATCAGCCCTGAGCTAACATCTTCCATCAATCCTCCTCTTTTTGCTGAGGAAGACTGGCTCTGAGCTAACATCTGTGCCCATCTTCCTCCACTTTATATGTGGGACACCTGCCACAGCATGGCTTGACAAGTGGTGCATAGCTCTGCACCCAGGATCCAAACCAGCAAACCTTGGGCTGCCGAAGCGGAACATGCCACTAGGCCAGCTCCAATTCTAGATGTTTTATTTGGATGAGACTATTTCCAGCATATACTTTTTGAGAGACAAAAGAAGCCTATTGATTCAGTATTTGTGACTAGAAAAGTGCATAAATAACCTCATCTTTGTAGCATAAAGTCAAGAGTATGAATCTAGGGTACAAATATATACTTCTATGATACAGACAATATATATTTTTTTTCGGGTCGGAAGATTTGCCCTGCTGCCAATCCTCCTTTTTTTTCTGAGGAAGATTGGCCCTGAGCTAACATCTGTGCCTGTCTTCCTCTATTTTATATGTGGGACACCTGCCACAGCCTGGCTTGATAAGCGGTGCATAGCTCCATCCCTGAGATCAGAACCAGCAAGCTCTGGGGCACAGAAGTGGAGCGCATGAACTTAACCACTACACCAGTGGGCCGGTCCCATGTATACATATTTTTAAACACCCCTGTTGAGCAGGTTCTTTTAATCTCTCAGTGCAGGTGAGTAAGTGGGACTATGAGCCAGTGAAGATATGAGAGTCATCCAGGTAGGAGTCAGGAGGAAGTGGGAGAATATTCCTCACCCCTCAGAACAGAGATTCTCCTCAGTTCTGGTCCCACAGGTGGGCCCTCACAGGAGCAGAGTTAGCATCTCATCTGCTTGAAGCATGGAGATAAGGACACCATCTAAGTCACTCTGTGTGTGGTCTGCCTGGCAGTAGGACTGTCACTAGATAGTGTCACCACTGGACAAACAACAGTGTACCTTAGAGACAATGGTGCAGCCAAGAATCAGTTGCTGTAGACACCGCCCTCCTTATGCCAACGCAGTGTGAATGTAATAAAAATGATTGGCTTTATTGTGAGCCCTTCATTTGTACCACAAGCCTAATTACTCTACCAAAGAGAGGGAAGCTGGAAAGAAACCTAAGAATTCACCAGCCCACCCTCTGCCGTGATTTGGAACCATGAGAGTTTAGACGCCAGCCGAGATCTTTTCTTGGGACCAATACTGCTGACACACTCACTCAATTGGTTGTCCTCGCTTTCTCATGTAACACACTGAAAGTTCAGAAGCAGAAATTGGTTTAATTGATTTGCCATGGTTGTGATGACAAAGGAAGGACCTGGGGTGGGCCTGACTCAGGCCACCCCTGTTTTGGCAGTTGGTGCACATGCTTCTACCAACTGTTCTGGACGAAGGATCCAAATGCTCAGCTGGGCCTAGTTGACGTGCCTCTGCAGGGTCCTTCAAACAAAGGTCCTTTCCTGCAATTTTGGGGGTTTATTTTATCACATAAGATTTTCTGGATTTATACAGAATATTTGGAACTTCTACTGCCTTAAAGGCTAACTTCCAAAGAAGAGGAGACAAGGTATTAATTCAACTCTCTGGGACATTTTATGGTTACCCATTGTATGTTGCATAAGGCACGTTTTGGTATCAACAGGAAGGTACGTGAAGTTGGGAAGGCCATCAATCTTTTAGCTGAAATCTGTTGTAGGGCATGTTGAACTGATTCTAGATACCATACTTTTGAGCCATACTTTCCTAATTTGCCTCTATAGGGTTAGCCTTGTAAGCCTAGCAGCTTCGTGGTTAAAATGGTTTTCAGCTGCTTCTTCCCTCAGCCTCTTTTGTTCCTCCCCTCTGCCACCTCTCAGTAACCCTGGGGTGGGAAGACTTGCAAGGATCCAGAAGCCCTAGTTGTGAGATCCCGTACATGACACATGGAAGATGAGTTGCAAGCAGCCCTGCCATAGGGAGCACCGACCTTAATGGGTTTCTGAGATGTTTGATGCACAGAGACAGTAAACTAACTGCTTCATGACTGACCATTTGGAAAAAAAAATTGTGTACCTGGCAGGTGAGTGCCACAGGTGGGGAATCAGATGCCACGAGAGGAAGAATGGTCCGGGAGTGGATTCTTTAGTCTTGGTCCCTTTATACAGTATCATTCAGGAAAGATATGGGTCAGTCACCCTTGTCTTTAGCTCAAATCAACCACATTGCCTGACAACAGAGACTTGGGAGAGACTGAAAGATGCTCACATTTCTGTGAGGCCGATGAAAGCGTTGAACACAGTCTTCATTCTATTGAAACAAGAACCCTGGCTGCTCCAAGGCCCGTCTGAAGATAGATTTAAGAAGGACCAAACCCTAAACTGGGGCCAGTGCATAGGGGAAGGAAAAGCATAAAAGTCTTCGAATAAACTGTAAGAACAATGTCACAGTGGGGTCTCGGTAACTCTTATGTTATTCAGTAGATGCAGTTATGCAAAATCTCATCAGAGCAGAAAAATTTTTTCCCCTTTCTACCTAGAATGAGATTCTCCAAGTCATGGGAAAGTCAATTTACTAAATGGACATGAATGAATTCCCTGGAAGGATTCCAGCCTGGACCTCTCAGGAGCACTCTAATTTGGAAAAATTTTTCAAGTATTCATTGTAGGATGGGACCATGGAGACTTCAGCTGCTTTTAGCTACTCATCATTCCATTTTGCGGATCTCACAGTGGAGGAGGGAAAGGAGAGGAGGAGTGAATGTAATCACTGCCATTGGAGTTGCTGTTATTATTTATCTCCTACATGTTAACTCCCTTTCTTGACCGTTCCAGTTCTGAGTCAGGGACGGGCCAGCCGCAGCACCTACTCCACAATCCCTGTGACCTGGCTTTCTCTTTCACCTTATAGATATGGGACCTATACGCATGGACTTTTTAAGAAGCTGGGAATTCCTGGGCCAACACCTCTGCCTTTTTTTGGAAATGTTCTGTCCTACCGTAAGGTGAGTGTTGTTTGAAGTCCCTCTTTGCTTTTTATGGCTGCAAATTCCAGCTTAGATTCCTAGTAAAACTGCTCCTCTTCAGCAGGAAGTTCTGAGGCCTCACACATCCCACTAATGGCATCATAGGCCCCACCCGGCACATGGCCAGGTTTACCCCAGGGATCTATTGTCAGCTGTCAGGAGTCTCATGTTTTGCCTCAGTACGACAGCCCAGTTCTCTGGCTTATTCAGCACAGGACTTGATGTTCCAACTTGTGAGCATTGTGAAGAGGGTGTTCTTTCTTCCAGATGCAGATTCCTAGGAAGGAACAATTGTACTGAGTATTAGGAGAAAAGAATGAAGGGAGTTCCCAGTAGCTCATTCAGCTGTGTACACTAGAGTCAGACTCCCCTGTTTGAGCATAAGCTCTGGGCAGCTTTTTTTCTTCTCCTTCCTCCTGGGTGGTTTATTTTTGCTGAGGAAGATTAGACCTGAGCTAACATCTGTTGTCAATCTTCCTCTTTTTGTATGTGAGCCACCACTGCAGCATGGCCACCGACACATGAGTGGTGTAGTTCTGCCCCCGGGAACCAAACCCAGGCGATCACAGTGGAGTGCACTGAACTTAACCATTAATCCACTGGTGTTGGTGCCCTCCCGGGTAGTTTTAAAGCTTCAGTTTACTAGTCAGTGCCAGTATTCACCATCAGGTGTTTTGCACAAACTTGAATTCTCTCAAGAACTGCTAAACCCTGCAGTTATACCCAGTGCCCTATTCCACCTTTGCTACCCTTGGTAGCTTTTGGGATTTGGGAGATGGAACAAGAGCTTCCAGCTTCACAGCTCTTCCTTCAAAGGAGGCTCCCTATGGATAAGTCTGAATAGGGAGTGGACATACCTGAGACAAGGTGGTGCTTGTGTATTGACATTAAATTTTTAACTACTTATTGGGTTGTATGGTTTTTTTTTTTTTTAAACAAATGCAGACTCACTTATATAAAACCACTAGAAGGGAGATGATTTGACAGCATTATTAAAAATTTAATATAAGTGAACGGATTATAGTAGGTGACTCCTGGACTCTGAGCTTTGGTGGAGCCTTTGTGGTTCATCCAGCTCTGATGCCTCTCCCAGGGCCTGGCCACTGGATGGAAGGTTCCAAGCTCAGGTCCAGAAGGCTAGCAGGCAGAACCATGCATGCAGGCTGCCCTCTGCCTCAGATTTCCTTTCCTGCAGACCTGAGGCTTGCTTCTCAGATCCCAATTCTCCCAACAGGGGCCTTCAGTGTCTAAGTCCTGCCTAAGAACTGTCACATATTTTTCTCTAGAAAAGCAATAATTTCCTTTCTACATTTTGCAGATTAACTCCTTAGCAGATGCATCCCAAGACCCACATTTCTGGGACCTTTCTTTGCATTGTGAAAGCATCATAACTGAAACTTAGTGAGGGGGGGAATTTTTGTTTAAGTTACAGAGTTGAAATCTCAGAGCAAGTGTTTTAATTTCCTCTGTCCTTTGTGGAGTGATGGCTTCTCCCATCCTTTCCACGTTGCACTGGAAAACTGGGAGGCGAGTCCACTTTGTCATTGATTCATTCACTCACTCACTGTTTGACTCAACAAACACGCCTTAGACTTATTTAAATCTGCTCATCTAAAAGAGGCCTCTGGTGTCTTAAACTTCCTAATTCTGCTAGAATTCTAGCGAGGGCTCATGAGATAAATGAAAAGGTTGCTTAATAGGAGGTCAAAGTGTGTGCAGGCCATTCTCGCTTTCCCTCAGCTTCAGTTTTCTCACATGTCCATTGAGGTAATAAGTCAGAGGGTTATTTGATTTCGGAGACAACACACGCACCAGTGGAAACACTTAAGAGGACTTACTTAATATTCATAGACATGGATAAGTCATTTAGTGTCTATGATACTTGGAGAAAATTCAAAATTAAATTCTCCTTGTCAAATAGCTCCTCTGTTTTCCCTCCTTTCCCCTAAGACGCCTTTCCAATAAGAGCTTCCCTGTCAATGAAAGACAGTAAGACTGATTTCATGGGATTTGAATCATTTTTGTTCCAATTATAGGTGTGGTTCAATACATTTAGATTAACAATCTAATTTTGTTTCTCCCTGCAGGGTATTTGGAATTTTGACAGGAAATGTTTTAAAAAGTATGGGAAAATGTGGGGGTGAGTATTCTGGAAACTTCCATTGGATAGACTTGTTGTTATGATGATGGCCTCACGTCCAGAGCCTCTTTCAAGAAATTCTAGAAATAGGGAAATGAAATTATTGATAATCTTACTATCGCTTTTTGAGCATTCCAAATCTTTTTCCATTTGTAGACACCGTTTTACGTATTTGTGATCAAAATCTCTACAATTTTCATCTAATTATATGTCATATGCATTTGTCATGTTTTTGATACATCTTCAAAATTGTAATTTTTCATGACTGAGTGGGTGGACTTTGCTTAATTAATCATTGTTTTGTTCTAGAAAATTTAAATTGCCTTCAATTATTTACTAACCTGCCTTTATTTTTATAATGAAATATTTTAAATGTGGAAAAAATTATGGGGAATTGTACAGGAAATACCCACGTACACACCACCTAGACTTAGCAAATATTCTAATATTATTTCCAACCGTGACCTCTAGGGTTATGGATTATGTGACATAAAGATGAAAGTCTGGACTCCCAGATGTGGCTCCAGCTCTAGAATCTGGCTTATTAAATTTATTCAGCTCTGTTTTCCCAACAGGGTTTATGATGGTAGACGGCCTGTGTTGGCTGTCACAGATCCAGACATGATCAAAACAGTACTAGTGAAAGAATGTTATTCTGTCTTCACAAACCGGCGGGTAGGCATTAATTTCTTTTAATTTAAAATTTTATTTATTACATTTTTATTTAGAAATAATTATAGGTTCACAGGAAAAGGGGAGGTGCCATGTCATGTGCCCTTCATCCTGCTTTCCCCATTGGTAATAACTTGCGTAGCTATAGCACAGTATCAAAGCAGGAAATTGACATTGGTACTATCCACTGAGCTTATTCAGGTTTCATCAGTTTTCTGTGCGCTCATTTGTGTGTGTATGTGTTGCTCTATGAAAATTTATCATGTATGTAGATTTTTGTAACAACACCACAATCAAGGTACAGAACTGTTCCATCACCACAAGGCTCCCTCTTACTTCTCTTTTATTGTCACAGTGTGTAGCTTGTATTTTCCTATTCTCAGGTCTTTCGCAGGGCTAACAGTTTTTTCTGATGAGGCCAATTTATTAATTTTTCCTTTTATGTGTTGTGACTTTGGCGTCAAGTCTGGAAACTTCACCTAGCCCTAGGTCCCAAAGATTTTCTCCTATTTTTTCCCCAAACATTATATAATTTTATGTTTTACCTTTAAGTCCTTAATCCATTTTGTGTCAATTTTTGTGTAAGGTGTGAAGTTTAGGTCAAGGTTCATTTTTTTGCCTATGGATGTCTAATTGCTCCAGCACCATTTGTGGAAAGTCTATCTTTCCTCCATTGAATAGCTTTTGCACCACTGTCAAGAATCGGTTGGACCTATTTGTGTGTATCTATTTCCCATTCTCTGTTCTGTTCAATGATCTATAGGTTTATCCCTCCACCAGTACCACACAGTATTGATTACTGTACCTATGGAGTAAATCTAACATTGTGTAGAATGCTTCTTGTCATTTATTTTTTTTCAGAATTGTGTTAGCTATCCTAGGTCATTTGCTTTTCCATACAAATTTAGAATAAGCTTATCTATGTTTACAAAAAAAAAATTGCTGAGGTTTTCATAATATCTAAAGATCAATTTGGGGAAAATCCGTATCTTTACTAGGTTAAGACTTTCAATCCATGAACACAGTATGCCTCTCCATTTATTTAGATTTCCTTTGATTCCTTTCATCAACATTTTGTAGTTCTCAACGTAGAGATTCCATACATGATTTGTTAAATTTACATGTAAAGTATTTCATTTTCTTTGGAGTGATTGTTAATGGTATTATGTTTTTAATGTATTTTCACAAATCCGTTGTTATTATATAGAAATGTGGTTGATTTTTGTGTGTTGATCTTGCATCCTACATCCTTGCTAAGCTGATTTATTAGTTATAGAAGGTTTTCTTTTTATGTTCCTTGAGATTTTCTACATTGAAATTATGCCATCCAAAAATTGGGACACTTCTATTTTTTCTTTTGAATCTATATGCCTTTTCTGTCTTTTTCTTGCCTTACTTCACCAGCTAGGACTTCCAGTATAATGTTGAATAAGAATAGTGAGAGTGGATATTTTCCCTTTCTCATTATATTGGGAGGAAGAATTTATTCATTCACCATTTAAAAATTTTTACTTACTTATTTTGGACAAATAAAAAATGTATACGTTTAAGATGTACAGTATGATGTTTTGATATATGAATACATTGTGAAACGATTACCACAAATGAATTACCATATCCATCACCTCTCATAGTTACCTTTTCTCGTGTGTGTGGTAAGAACACTTAAGATCTACTCTCTCAGCAAATTGAAAGTATACAGTACAGTATTGTTAACTATAGTCACCATGCTGTACATTGGATCTCCAGAACTGACTTATCTGATAACCAAATGTTTTTACCCTTTGAACAATACTTCCCCTTCCCGCCGACCCCCAGCCTCTGAACCATCATTGTACTCTCTGTTACCATCAGTTTGACTTTTCGTTTTTAGACTCCACCTATGAGTGAGACCGTGTGATATTGGTCCTTCTGTGTCTGACTTAATTTTCTTAGTACGTTGTCCTCTAGGTTTATCCATGTTGTCACAAATGGAAGGGTGTTTTTTTTTTTAAGCCTGAATAATATTCCACTGTATATTCACCGTATATTCCACTGTATATAGACATATATATACACACATATTTATATATACAGATATGCACACACGCACACATATATATATATACACACATATTTTCTTTATCCATTCATCTGTCCATTTACATTTAAAGTAGTCATTGATTGAAAGGACTCATTATCGACATTTTGTTAATCTGGGTGCTTTGCAGATCCTCTGTTCCTTCTTTCTCTCTTCTTCCCTTTTTCCTTTCTGAGTTGATGCTTTTCTATAATGGTGTGCTTTGGTTCCTTTCTCTTTACCCATGCCATCGCTACGATAGGTTTTTACTTCGTGTTTACCATGAGGCTTCCATAAAACGCCTTAAAGATTTAACAGTCTAATTTAGGCTGATAACAATCTAACTTTGTTCTTACTCAGAAATTCAGTGCTTTTACTCCCCCTGACATTTTATGTTTTTGATGTCACCATTTACGTCTTTTTATATTGTGCATCCATTAACAAATTACTTTAGCTATAGTCATCTTTAATTCTTCTCTGTTAACATTTGCCCTAGAGTTCTAAGTGATTTGCACACCACCATTACGATATTACTGTGTTCTGAATTTGACCATATATTTGTATCTACCAGTGAGCTTTATGCTTTCACGTTACTAGTTAAGGTCCTTTCTTTTTAGCTTGAAGAACTCCCTTTAGCGTTTCTTCTGAGACAGGTCTGGTGGTGATGAACTCTTTCTGCTTTTGTTTGTCTGGAAATGCCTTTATTGCTCCCACATTTTTGAAGGGTCACTTTTCCAGGTAGAGTATTGTTGGTTGCCAGATTTTTTCTTTCAGCGCTCTGAATACATCATTTTATTCTCTCCTGACTTTCACGGTTTCTGCTGAGCAATCCACTGATACCCTTGTTGGGGTTCTTTTGTAGCTCTTATTGCATTTCTTAGTTTAGTCTTTGTATTCTTCAGCTATAAAATTTCTTCTTTTTTTGGTTCTTTTTTATGTTTTATATCTCTTTGTTGAACTTGTCATTTTTTTGGGTAATTTTTTTCTGATTTTGTTAAGCTGGTTTATATATGTTGTCTTGTAGCTCTCTGAGCTTCTTTAGAACAATTATTTCAAATTCTTTGTCATGCAATTTTGGGTCTCCATTTCTTTGGGGTCAGTTACCGGAAGTTGATTGTGTTCTTTGTGGTGTTACTTTTCCCTGAATCTTTGTGATCCCTGCAGACTTGCAATGGTGTCTGTGCATTTGAAGAAGCAGTTACCTCTTCTAGACTTTATGAACTAACTTTAGTAAGCAAAGACCTTCACTTGTGGTTTGGGGTACACTGTAGTGTGTTGTGGTTGTCACTCTGTTGGTGCTTGGTGCCAAGTATGGGGGTGTGTGGTGGCTCCATGTTCAGGCAGCCATGGCTGGCTCAGGCAGCGGGGGTTCACAATATCCTCAACTGCATTATCCTTGGCAGCAAGAGCTATGAAGGTTCCAGAGTGGCTTCAAAGGCTGTTGAGGTCTTCAGCAGCACCTCTTGCTCCAGCAGCAAGGGACTGAGAGGCAGCAGTGGTTGCCAGAGTTGGTGGTATGTGCATGCTCGTCTGGGGGAGCTGACTGCAGGCACATGTACTGCCTTGGGGACTGGTGACTGGAGTTGAGACTGGCAGTGTGCAGGTGTGTGGCTGCAGGGGTTAGCTGTGGGCACACATGGCAGTGCAGTCCACTGACAAGAGTCAAGATGGGCTCCAGGTACCTGAACAGCTATGGAGGCCTGGGCTATTGTCATGCACACGCCTTGGCATGGAGAGTGGGGCTGGCTGCTGGTGCGGATCCCAGGGCTCTGGGAGTCACTGGTGGCACTGGCTAAAGCATCTTTGGTAGGAGAGGAGTGGGACAGGACAGGACTCAGGCAGCTGGAGTCTGTGAATGTGAAAACCTGTGGGGCTGTCAACACCCAAATCTGCAGGGTGTCTGCAGCATCTATGCTGGCTGTTGGTTTCCTCAGCAGCAAAGGCTTCTGGAGTCTTCTGCAGAATAGGCCAGAGAGAACCATAGTCACTCCCACCACATTGCTGTCACTGGCAGTCTCTGCCCTTCTTTGTTCCTAGCTGTCTTAAGACGTGTCAGCTATGCCACTCTCTAGGTGTGGTGAAACCAAATCAGGTCATTTGCGCAGTGCCCTGAAAGGCTGGGGAAACTGGTCACTTGCCTGCTGTCCTATTCCCAGCAAGTAGAACTTTCTCAGGCTGCGGAGTGCCCTCTTGGCCCTGAGCAGTGCTGGCCTGGGGGATCCGATGACTCCGGGAAAATGAAACTATTCTCCCTACCCATTTTGCACGGTTATTCTCAGGGTGTTTTTGCTCCACTGTGTTGCTGAAGCATCTTGATTGGACTAATGAGCTCTCCTAGATCTATTTTCATTTGTGGATAGCTGTCTAGTTGTTGTTCTTGGAGCATTGATGGAGGCTGGAGCCTTCTACTTGGCCATCTTGGTGAGGTCACTCCAGTCTTTCATCATTAAGGGTGATGTTAGCTGTAGGATTTTTTGTAGATGCTCCCTATGATGTTGAAGAAATTTCCCTCTGTTCCTAGTTTTCAAGTTTTTATCGTGAATGGGTCTTGGAGGTATCCATTTAAAAACAAAATATAGTTTTGGAAGATGAAAGGAAGTCTTCAGCAGGTTGGCTTGGTTGGCAGTCTCAAGCTGAGAAATAGAATGATCTTTTTCTTTTCCTTTCTATCCATAGCAGAAAAATGTAACGGAAAGGGATTTCCATGTGATAGTGTCATTTCTTCGGAATAGCAAATAGATTATTAGTCTTTTAAGTATTAACTATTTTTTTAAAAAATCACCATTTTTGGACATCCCTTTTCCAGGTTGCTTTTGCTTTAGTTATATCTAAAGGCAAAACTGGTCTGAGGCAACACAGATATTGGCAAGGCTACCTGGCTATCTGTCACCAATCCCTTTGTATTCCGAGCAGCTTGGAGGATGTATTATGTCTTGTTCTTCTCATTCTCCTGGAAGAACAGTTTCCCTACCACATGGGTCATTTGCATTCAAAAGGAGATTGGAATATAAAGTGTGGAAACCACATCAGTGGCTGAATGCCTCCTCCACACTTACAGGAACCTAGACATTTGGGATAAATATATATTAAGCATCAATCATAGGGTCTGCTACTAAGTAGACAGTCACTAAATATTTGTTGAAAATTTATGCCAATTTTACAAATTTTCCACAGTTGTTGAGACATCCAAAACTCATGTAGGGCAAAATGTCTTTTGCTTTTGAGTCTAGCCTTTTCGTCCAGTGGGGTTTATGAAAAGTGCCATCTCTCTGTCTGAGGATGAGGAATGGAAGAGAATACGAACGTTGCTGTCTCCAACCTTCACCAGTGGAAAGCTCAAGGAGGTGAGAAATTAAGAGGACTTTTAAATAGAAACGTAAAGAATGCATCTGGCATCAGGTAGAAAATAAGGTCATAGTCCCTTTTTAAGGAGTATTTTGCTGAATTTGAGCCTCCTAAAAATGCTGTTTTATCTTTATGTTCTAGAGGAGACATTATAAGATTCATTATAAAGTGTCACTTACTACTCCATGCTTGTGAATGCAAGGCCCTTCTAAGACTGGAGTCTCTGCATTTAACTTCAGGTGGTGTTGTATTTTGTATTTAGATGTTCACAATCATTGGCCAGTATGGAGATGTGTTGGTGAGGAACTTGAGGAAGGAAGCAGAGAAAGGCAAACCCGTCACCTTGAAAGAGTAAGTAGGAGTGCACCTGCTGGGATACTGACCTTGGTCACGAGACACTCCAGCTGCCTGACACGGAGCTGAAATTCCCACAGTTGAGTCACTCTAGTGACCAAACAGAAGTAGGTGTGTGTTTTTACAACTCCAACGAGTCACCCAAGAAGATGTGGCTCACCCAAAAAAGCAGCACAACTAGGAGAGAAATCTTCTTCTGTGTACATGAGCCAGGATTAATTGATCTGCTTAATTGTCACCTTGGATATTCTGGAAGACAAAAATACATAGTTTAGAGAGAAGACACAAGATCATATCAAAGATTTGAGAGTAAAGGGTATAGAATGGTGAGAGAGAAAGGCATTTGGTACGTATTGGTGGTCATGGGTGGGGCAGGACAGTTCCAATGTGAAACTTGGAACGCTTAAACCCCTTCACGATTTTGCTGGCGCATACCAAGCAAAATTACTAAATACAAAAGTCTTACCACCACTTCTCTTTCCTTCCAGTCTCAGAGGAAAAGAAGGCCCCTGTACAGGCTTTCGAGTGGGGTGATCATATCATGTATTGTCTAAAGTGGGATATTCTTAATTATTCAGGAACTACAGTTGTAAACTTGGATTGTCCTTGGAAAAATGGGGACTTATGATCACTTAGCTGTGGGATCACCTAAATCAATGTTGGAATGATTTATTATTATTATGTTTTTAACTAGCAACATTCTTAGTTCTTAGATTTACCATGATGAGCACTCAGGACAATGTGAGGTTACTGGAGTTGAGGAAGAGTGGGTCATTCAGGGGCCTTTGCAGGGGTGTAGAAAAGGAGGGATGACATTCCTGGCAACTCAGAACAGGGTGATGCTGTTCTGTAATACGCTAAAGAGGAATCAGCTTTGAGCATAGATACTGTGGTGAGGCAAGTTCCAGATCAATGTCATCTTTCTTGACTCTCCTGGGAAGAGTTAATTATTCCACCCTTTGTCCTGCTCCAACACAGTGCTTATAAAGGCACTATGCCCATACTGAAAACATACTCCTGTAACTGCCTATTATGGGTTTCTATTCCTGTATGACTCAGCTCTTTGAGCTCAGAGGTGGGTCTAACTCGCCTTAGTGTCCCCATCATCCCTAGCACAGGGCCAGCTGCATCATTGGAACCTGATAAACACCTCATGGGTGAGTGTGAGGTAACATAGGCTCTTCAGATGATCCAACAGAAGGTTCTGAAGGTGTGTGGCTCTTTACCTGTCTTGTCTGGGCATATGAATTTACATGCACTTCTTGCTGCTTGTGTTGGATAAGGAGAGTAAAGAGGTGCTGATTTTAATTTTTCATGTCTTTCTTTTTCACTCAGCATCTTTGGGGCCTACAGCATGGATGTGATTACTAGCACATCATTTGGAGTAAACATCGATTCCCTCAACAACCCGCAGGATCCCTTTGTGGAAAATAGCAACAAGCTCTTAAGATTTGATTTCCTCAATCCACTCATTCTTTTAATGGGTATGTGGACCAGTATTTTTCTTTTCCTTCCTACCTTGTTTCCTTCCTTCTTCCCACCCTCCCTCCTTTTTCCCCTTCCTTCCTGTTTTCCTTCTTTCTGTAACAGCTTTACTGAGATATGATTCAAATACCATATATTTCACCCATTTAAAACGTACAGTTCAGTTGCTTTTACAACCTAGGCATCCATGCACAGATGAATGGATAAAGTAAATGTGTTATAAATATGCAATGAAATACTATTCAGCCATAAAAAGGATGGAAATCCTGCCATTGCAACAAAGTGGATGAACCCTGAGGGCGATAAGCTAAGTGAAATAAGTCAGACAGAGAAAGGCAAATACTGTATGATTTCACTTATATGTGGAATCTGAAGGAAAAAACCAAACAACTAGAGATAAGATATCCTACCTGTCTTTACCACAGGCAGGGGTTGGGGTGGGGGAAATGGAGGAAGGTGGTCAAAAGGTACAAACTTTCAATTATAAGATAAATAAGTACTGAGGATGTAATGTATGGCATAATGTCTATAGCTAACACTGCCGCATGGTATAGTTTTAAGTTGCTAAGAATAGATCCTAATAGTTCTCATCACAAGGGAAATTTCTTTTTTGTGGATATAGGAGGTGATGGATGTTAATGAAACTTACTGTACTAGTCTTTTCACAATATATGTATATCAAGTTATTGTGCTGTATTCATAAACTTATATGATACTGTATGTCAATTATATTGAATGCAACTGAAAAAAAGATTTTTATTACATTCACATATATATTCAATCATCACTACAGCCAATTGTTAGAACATTTTTGTCAAGAGAGACCCTGTGCATTTTAACTACCACCTCCCACCTCCCTTAGACCTAAGCAACCGCCAATATACTTTCGGTCTGTCTAGATTTACCTAGCTTGGACAGTTCATATAGATGGAACCATACAATATGTGGTCTTTTGTGGCTGGCTTTCTTCATTTAGCATAGTGTTTTCAAGGTTCCCATGCTGAAACATATTTCAGTACTTCATTTCTTTTTATGGTCATATAGTTCCCTAGGGTTTCCATGAAGAAGATCATGTTATCTGGCAATAGAGTTTTACTTCTTCATTTCCTATGTGGATACCTTTTACTTCTTTTTCTTGCCTAATTGCCCAGGGTAGAACCTCTAGTTCAATGTTGAATAGAAGTGGTGAGGGAGGCATCCTTGCGTCGCTCTTAATCTTAGGGTAGAGCATGCAGTCTTCCCCTCTAAAGTACAGTGTTAGCTATGTTGTTTTGTGGATGCCCTTTATCACGTTGAGGAAATTCCCTTCTACTCTCAGGTGGCTGAAGTTTTTTAACACAGAAGGGTGTTGGATTTTGTGAAATGCTTTTTCTGCATCTATTGAGATGATCATGTGGTTTTTGTTTTTTATTCTGTTTATATGGTGAATTGCACAACTTTGCACTCCTGCAATAAACTCCACTTGGTTTTGGTGTGTACTTCTTTTTATATTTTGTTGAATTCAGTTTTCTAGAATTTTTTTGAGGATTTGTGCTTATGAAATGTTGTTCATAAGATATATTGGTGTGTAGTTTACTTTTCTTATGATACGTTTGTCTGGTTGTAGTACAAGTGTCACAGTGACCTTGCAGAATGAGTTTGGGTGTATTCCCTGCTGTTCTATTTTTTGGAAGAGGTTGTGAAAAATTGGTGTTAATTCATTTTTAAATATTTGGTATAATTCCCCATTAAACCATTTGGATCTGAGCTCTTCTTTGTGATTGGCTTCTTGATTACTAACTCAATCTTTTGACTTGTTATTTGTCTATGAAGATTGTCTTTTTTTAATTGAGATCACATTGGTTTATAACTTTAGATAAATTTCAGGTGTGCATCCTTATATTTTGACTTCTGTATAGAGTGCTTTGTGTTCACCACCAAAAGTCTAGATGCCATCCGTGACCATACACAAGCACCCCCTTTACCTCTTTTACCTTCCCCTCACCCCATTCTGGTAACACTACAGAGTGTATTTCTTTTTGAGTCAGTTCCTGTAGTTTGCGTCTTTCTAGGAAATTTTCTATTTCACCTAAGTTATTTAATTTATTGGTGTACAATTGTTCATAGTATTCCTTTGTAGTTCTTTTTATTTTATTTATTTTTTGCTGAGGAAGATTAGCTCTCAGCTAATACCTGTTGCCAGTCTCCTTCTTTCTTTTTGCTTGAGGAAGATTAGCCCTGAGCTAATCTGTGCTAATCTTCCTCCACTTTATATGTGGTTGGCTGCCACAGCATGGCTGAGGAGTGGTGTAGATCCACACTGGGGATCCGAACCTGTGAACCCATGTCGCTGAAGTGGAGCAAGCCCCACTTAAGCCCACTGCCATGGGGCTGGCCCCCCTCTTTTTATTTTTTTAATGTCAGTAGTAATGTCCCCTCTTTCATTCGTGATGCTCATAAGTTGAATCTTCACTCCTTTTTTCTTGGTCAATCTAGCTAAAGGTCTTTTCAAAGAATCAGCTTTTGGTTTCATTGATTTTTTTCTACTGTGTTTTATTCTCTATTTCCTTAGTTTTTACTCTTACCTTTATTGTTTCCTTTCTTCTGCTTGCCATAGTTTTTGTTTGCTTTTCTTTTTTCAGTGTGTTAAGGTGGAAAGTTAAGTTATTGGTTTGAGGTATTTGTTCTCTTTAAATGTAGAAATTTGTAGCCATAAAGTTTTCCCTCTGAGCACTGCTTTTGCTACATCCCGTAAGTTTTGGTATATTGTGTCTTTATTTTTATTTATCTCCAAGTAATTTCTATTACCCTTTTAATTTCTTCTTTGACCCATTGGTTATTTAGGAGTGCAATGTTCCATTGCCACATATTTGTGAGTTTCCCAATTTTCTTTCTGTTATTGATTTCTGATTTCATTTCATTGGGGTTAGAAGGCAGCTTGTCTTATTGCTATCCTAAGTCATATTTCTTGAACTGCATGGGTAATTAAAGCAGCAGACTATGGTCTGGATCACCCAAGGAGACTGTAGTGCAATGATAAAAGGCTGAGAACTCCAGCAATTTAATCCTGTTCCTTGAGTCACTCCAAACATGCAAAGAGCCACGGACCTCACTGCTATAGTGATGGCCCCTAAGTGTGGTGTTGCTCTTGTTCAGCCATTTGCTTGGAACTCTGAGCAAAGGTGATAGAGGGAATGGCTCCTCGTTGAGACTTCTGGTGTCTTTTACTCTTCTGATTGTTAGAGGAAATTATAATTGTCTCCAGGTAAAATTTACATTTTTATGTGCTTTCTTTTTTCTTTTCCCCTACAGTACTCTTTCCGTTTCTTCAGCCAATTTTTGAAGTATTAAATATCTCTCTGTTTCCAAAAAGTGCTATTGATTTTTTCACAAAATCTGTAAAAAGGATGAAAGAGAGTCGCCTCAAAGATAAAGACAAGGTAAAATGTGGGGTGGTTACATGAGGGTGTTCAGTTTTCATAATTTATTGAGCTGTACGCATGTGATTTGTGTAGTTCATTGTAAGTTTTTTCAGGTGGCAGAGATCTCTAGGGTTTAGAGCAGGAGACTTCTAACATTTCGGGGAAATGAAGCAGGAGAAAATTGGGGAGGGAGATAAGAAAGTGAGTCAGAGGACAATGTTTAAACCTTAATAATAGGGATGACTATTATTCTGTCACTGCGTGAATATTGTTGAGACAAAACTTTACCGCTTCCCTTCAATAAATTGTCAAAGGATAAAAATTTCTATTTAAAAATTACTTTACTTGGTATTATAATTCCCCCAGATCTCAGATTGGCAAAGAATCATTTCTATTCTAAGCCTCTTATTTTACACATTCCCCGATGGAAGCCCCCATCAGGTTACTTGTAGTGTAGAGTCTGTGTTAAATTGGTGACCTCTCCTGGTCTGGAGTGTGCAGGAGTATTCTTTGACATTGAGGCTGCAAGTTGGCTCACCCAGCTTTGCCTTCATGAGGCCTGGAGAGCAGCACTAGAATGTCTGCAGGTCAGGTAGACAGGGCTGGGTACTCCCAGTAACTTACTGAAGATTGTGTAGAGTTCTGGGAGTTTGGGACATTTGAAGACGTTCAGAGGAAAGCTGCTGATGAACTCTGCAAATGTCAGGGGATTAATATATGTGGCCATTCATTAAAAATTAAGGCTGGAGACAAAAAAATGGAATTGAAGTCAGGAACTTCCTTCTGAGCAAGTAGGCATGACAGGAGAGGGAGCAGGCAACTCTTTGGCTGAGAAAGTGTGTTCAAAAGCCAGAAATACTGAAGATCAGAGAGAGGGAGAGACAAAAAACTGTTGGGCATGAAGGCTGGATATCTCTTAGGGAGACGTCTTGCTGTCCCAGATTTGTAGCTGGTGGTTCTGTTCACTGGTGACTCAGGCAACACTAGTTAGACTTCTGGACTTAAAGGGGTCATATTTTCAGGAAAGCGGATAAGCACTCCTGATTTATTTCTGACTTCAGATATGACTGTCTGTCATTGAAATGTCTCTCCCTCCTTCCAGCACCGAGTTGATTTTCTTCAGCTGATGATTAACTCTCAGAATTCCAAAGAACTGGACACCCATAAAGGTAACCAAAGAGTCTTCAGAGGGCCAACATGGGAAAGCTCAGAGGGAGCAGATGCTTCTGAAAATGTGCAGGAAGCTTTTCCAGACAAATGAGAATTTAAGCCAAATGGAAGAAAGACGCACTTTCAGATATAAATGGTAGCCAGAGGCACTTTCTAGAAACATGCAGGCACAATTGTTTTCAAAGCTTGAGAGAACCATAACAAGTATTCCACGTCCCAAAGACAATCAGTAGTCTGTTGATCCCCTACATCAGAGCCTCTGGGGATCTTGTTTCCACGTCAATTCTCAGGCCTTATCCAGGCCCACTGAATCAGAACCTCCACCTGGCAATTTGCATCAAGGTTTCATTACAGAAGACAATTACCCCAGTGTTGGTGACTTTAACTTAGAGGATTGTTTAAAGTTGTGTTCACTAGTTTAATCTATTGTAAAGTTTTATTTTTCCCTTTGTATTAGCAAGCAACTTGTGAAGGAGGCCTCTGAGACCGTGTAAACATTCTGTCCCTCTTCAAATGTCTCCTACTACTTTTATCATCCATTGATGGTTCTAGATTGAAGTCATTATTACTATGACAGTTGCCAAATGATGACTTTCCAATTTCATCATTTCTTCTACCTTCATGAGTTGATGTTCCATTGTAAGGAGAGCTTTCCATTCTCTTTCATTTATTTATTTGTTTATATATTTGTATCAATCAGATCTCATATATTACTAATTTACTCTCTTATAGCATTCCTTATTTTGATGCTCAAATTCTCTCAGGTTTGTCAACGGGAAGCCCTTTCAAGTGGATTCCTGTGTCCTTATTTTCTTCTTCTTTTTTTTAATTTTATTTTTTCAATAGACTTATTTAGAGCAGTTTTAGATTCCCAGCAATATTGAGTGGAAGATACAGAGATTTCCAATATACTCCCTTCCCCCAACTATGCACAGTCTCCCTCACTGTCGAAATCCCTACCAGACTGGTACATTTGTCACAATCAATGAACCTGCATTGACAGATTATCACCCAAAGTCCATAGTTTTCTTTAGGGTTCACTCTTGCTGTTGTACTTTGTATGGGTTTGAACAAATGTATAATGTTGTGCATCCACCATTATAATATACAGAGTATTCTGTATCATTTCACATATTATTTTCCGAACACTTCCTTGCTTTGGAAGATATTCTGCGTTTCTCTTCTATTCCCCCAACCAGCCCTGGAATCAACCAATTCCCCAAGGAGCTCTGGTTCTTTGTAATGAGAAATGGTATTTAAAAACTGAAATCTGGGATCTAGGAGTGCCCATTGCTACTAGGGTTTCTTTCCTTCTAGATCCTCTCAGTGGACAAAGCTAAGAACACCAAATATATTTGCACAGAATTGATAAACTTAAATATTTCTATATCGACACCTAACCAGTGGTCTAAACATGCTCTGTATCTCTCTTTCTCTAAAAGGGCTCTGATTTATAATTTACTTCCTTGACACGAATACTCCCATGTAGTTTATTTCAAGTACCAATCATTCGACAACCATCTCACAGAATTCCTGAATATTTAATGTTGCTTCTTGGGGCTGGCCTGGTGGCATTAGTGGTTAATACCACGTGCTCTGCTTCAGTGGCCTGGGGTTTACAGGTTCAGATCCCGGATGTGGACCTATGCACCATTCATCAAGCCGTGCTGTGGCAGCGACCCATATACAAAGTAGAGGTAGATTGGCACAGATGTTAGCTCAGGGACAATCCTCATAAGCAAAAAGAGGAATATCATCAACAGATGTTAGCTCAGGGCCAAACTTCCTCACCCAAAAAAACCCCCCCAAAAAAATTGTTTCTGAAGAGCAGGGCTAATCTGAGTCTAGCACACCACTATTAATGTATCCATGTCTATGTCTATGTCTATGTCTATGTCTATCTATCTATCTAACTGCATGGTCCAATACAACTTTCTGTGATGAAGGTAATATTCGGTATCTGCCCTGTTCAATGCAGTAAGCACTAGACACATGTGGCTATTGAATACTTGGGATGTGGCCACTGAATCGTATATTGTATTTAAATTTAAGTGATTAAAATTTAAATTTAAATAGCCACATGTGGCTACCATATTGTTCATCACAGCTCTAAACTTTGAGTATCATGAGGTTCATGCTAACCAGGGGGGAGCACTTGGCAGTTGAATTTACCTACAGCAGCATCAGAGAAATCATCATTGGGAAGTCAGAACTCTGTAGATCTTTCTTAAACTTGTTTTCTAGTGTTTTAGTTGTGAATCTTATGGTTGGAGCAGGTAGTAACCATGTTTATTTCAGCACTCTAAGTATCTATATGTTCTAATCTACTCCCAAGCAAATAGATTAGAGTATGACCATGCTTAGTTTCTTCTAGGAGAAATTCAAAATGGAGGCTAACTTATAAACACAAGGGTTCTTTGCTGACCCTGCAGGAGGGCAAAGAAAGGCTGCATGTGCTGAGGAAGATGATATTCAGGCGATGATCAAACAAGCATTGCTGTTCCACTCACTGGAACCTATTTTTCTACATTTCATGCTGGCCAGTGCCCTCTACTGACATATTCTTTTTTCTGCTGTTTAGATGCCTCTGATTAGACTAGGGTCAATCACCACTCTTCTGTCATTTTGTGTGTCTCTGTAGTTTCTGTTCATATCTGGGATCTTCCATTTGAAGACTTGTGCCTCAGGTTTTCCATTACCTGATGCCTCTCAATGTGCAATCAATGCTTCTGAGGTTAGGTTGTGCACACAAAGCACATCTCGTGAAATCAGATTTTGATTCGATAGCTCTAGGGTGGGAGTTGAGATCCTGCACTTCTAATGAGCTCCCAGCTGTTGTTGATGCTGCTGGTCCACGGACCATACTTTGAGTAGCAAGAGTTTATGTGTAGTCCAATATTATTCTCTTAAATTCCCTCATATATGTTAGGGAAACGATCCTTTAATTTTCTCTATGATTAAGCCTTATTCTTGTACACTCTCTTAAAAAATTTCCAGCTATATTTTAGTGAGTTATTAAGTTTTTCCTGTGGGTAATGCTATTCCATACTACTTGTAGCTAAAGTTCTTTTCAGACTCTCCAAGGGACATACTGAACACTGTTTATGTTAGACAGAAATGCTATCTCTTAAGTTACCCAGCTGTGTTGCTGGAGATGGGCAGCATAACCAGGAGGCGATGGCCAAGAACAGTGTAGACCTCAGGAGAAACTGAATTAAGACAATCTTTTCCTTTTTCTGTTCTCTCAGATAGACAGCAGAGTGCAAACCACTTTCAGTTAGACTCTGACCTGCTTTTCTCTTTTTTCCCCTATGGTATTGAGAGTTTCCTTTGGATTTATAAACATCTAAACTGTGCTGTGTTATACTGACCTGCTTTACCTAAAATGTCTTTCCTCTCCTTTTAGGTCTGTCTGATCTGGAGCTCGTGGCCCAATCTATTGTCTTTATTTTTGCTGGCTATGAGACCACAAGCACTTCTCTTTCCTTCCTTTTGTATCTTTTGGCCACTCACCCTGATGTCCAGCAGAAGCTGCAGGAGGAGATTGATGCAATTTTCCCGAATAAGGTGAGTGGATGATACCTGGAGAGGGAGGGAGAAGGTGAAGTCTTAGGAAGAATGTCTCCTCACCTCTTCCTAGGAGTTTTGCAAAAAGCATAAGTATCAATTCTTTCACCTATTCTATTTAAGATGGATCTAAAGAGACAAAAAAGGGAGAGACCTAGGCAGTGTATGCTACTCACATAAATATAAGATCTTTGAAAAAGTGCTGATCCAGGCATATCTGTTGTCTTTCACCACATTGTTGCCAAGTGAAATTCACAAAACCTCAGTGGCATCTGACAATACGTTATCTCTGTTGATGTTGGCTGGAGTTACTCTGGGCTGGTTGTGAGCTGGTCTAGGCTTGCCTTGGCTAAGCTGGGTGGGATGACTCAGCTCCTCCCGTCTCTCATGCTCCAGAAAACCAGCCTGGATGTCCACTTCTTAGGGCAATGGCAGAAGGCAACAGCAAGAAGCCCAGTCACATGGGTGCCTTTCAAAACTGTGCTTGCATCACACTTAGCCAACATTCCGTTGGTTCAAAGGAAGCCACAAGGCCAACCCCAGAGTCAGAGACTGAGGGAAAAGTGGATCCCAAATCTCATTTTATCAAAACCTGTTTCTCTCTTCCAAGGCACCTCCCACCTATGATGCCCTGGTACAGATGGACTATCTTGACATGGTGTTGAATGAATCTCTCAGATTATTCCCAGTTGCTGTTAGACTTGAGAGAGTCTGTAAGAAAGATGCGGAAATCAATGGAGTGTTCATTCCCAAAGGGACAGTGGTGATGGTGCCAACCTTTAGTCTTCACCGAGCCTCAGAGTTTTGGCCTGAGCCCGAGGAGTTCCGTCCTGAAAGGTACAGGGCCCCTGGGAAAGGGAACCCACCCTGATTATGGCAGCTTTGAGCATATTCTGACATCTCTTAGTATAGATGAGAAATGTGTGATTGCACAATCATTTATTTGTACCTCTTATTATTTTTGGCTTCTTTTTTTCTTATTACAATAGGGGTCATTGTTGTCAAAATTTTATGAACTGAAGACCAGAAAAAGGAAAATTGTAACTGTCCACATTGCTGATACCTCAAGATAGGCCTCATTAACAATGTGATATATATCCTTATACACATATTTCTATACATATTTACATTTAAAAAATTAGAATGGGGAGCTGGCCCTGTGGTGTAGTGGTTATGTTCGGCGTGCTCTACTTCAGTGACCCAGGTTTACAGGTTTACATCTGGGTGCGAACCTACACCACTCACCAGCCATGCCGTGGTGGCAACCCACCTATAAAGTGGAGGTAGATTGGCACAGATGTTAGATCAGGGCTAATCTTCCTCAGCAAAAAAAAAAAAAAAAAAAAAAAAATTAGATTGGTATTACATTTTATTTGGTTTTGAACTGCTTTATTTACCAATAAATTATAAACAACATTCTATGTTACTGTATCCATATATATTATATGTATTTTTGCGTGATTGCATGCATTTGCCATAATTTACTGAACTACTATCTGATTTTGGGAATATTGGCTCATTTTTCCTTTATGTTTTTCTATGATGTTCTCTTCAGCTCTCCTAATTTACCGTCAGCATTCCCACATTCCACTTTTTTAAGATTTTCTACTGTTTCCTCTAGCACTATTGTAAGAGTGCTCATGATGATGTGCAAGGTCCTCATCCCTGATGGTTTAAGCAGCCTCATTCAGGATGAATGTGAACCCATGTCCTCCGGTACTGTCTGTGGCTGCAGTCTTGTCCCAGGTCCCTTCTACTCTCAGTATTCGGTAACCTTTCCAAAGGGTATTCACCTGCTGTCTAGACATCTGAGACATCCTCCTTGGTGGGGTCTTGGGCATGCTCTTCTGGGAATTCAGAGCCAAGGTCTGACTTTGGGCACAGCTTGAACTCTGGGAAGAGCTGATTCTTTCACATTTATTGCATTGGTGAGCAAAATTTGGAATGAACTGTTTAGGACACTAGCAGGGATCTAGACTTTTCTTAGCCCCCTGACTTTTAACCTCCCTGATGGGCAGGGGACCTTGTCTTGTTGGCCCATGGTGTCCCTAGTGCTGGCATAGCAATTTCCACATAGTACTAGTTGAAAGAAGAAGTCAGAGTTGACCAACTCTGTTTCCTGGGCCAGAGAGCCTCTGAGATGCCTCCAAGCTTAGCAGTTCTCCTGTGGTTTCACCAGCATCAAACTAGAGAGTGCTCGCTGTACTTCTCTTTGATTAATTCATTCATCAAACAGAGAGTAAGTGATTTCTGTGTGTCAGGGACTGGGCCAGACAATGAGAAATCCAAATGTTAAAAAAAACCTATCATGAAGGATTTTGATATATACGCGAGTATATGTGTTTTGACGTATACGTAAGTATATTCTATGGACACAAGTCTATGGACTACTTTTAATGTACCTATATGTGTCTACCTCCTGCCCAACAACCATCAGCCTATGTCAGCTGTGTCATCCTCATACCATTACTACCCTTCTCCTGATTCCCGTACTATTTTAAGGCATATCATGTATAGCTATTCCAGGATGTCCTCCAAAATATAAAGACTCTTTAAAAGTAGATAGCCACAATGCCATCATCACTCTCCCGACATCCACAATTTTTCTTCATGTGATCACATATTGAGCAATCATATTGAATAAAGCATAGGTCTAACCTTCAAGGAATTTATAGCTTAGTGGAACAGATAGAAAAGGAAATCAGTGATTATAGCAAAGTAGAGTAGCATCACATGCCCATGTACATTATCTGATGTAAGCTATTCTATGGGAGACACACCCACACACACCACACACACCCACACACGCACAGGAAGACAGAGAGAGACTGAGAGAGAGTAGAGAGAGAGAGATAGAGAGAGAAGGAGAGAGAGAGAAGGGTAGGGAGAGAAGGGAAGAGAAGGGAAAATAACAATTTAAATAATAGGAGGCATTTCCCCTGCTTTTTTCAATAATTTCTTATCGTTTTCAGTGTATAGGTATTTCAGCTACTTGGTTAAATTTATTCCTTGGTCTTTTATTTTTTGCTGCAATTGTAAATGTAATTGTATTCTTGATCCTCTTTCTGCTAGTTGGTTGTTAGTGTATAGAAATGCAACTGATTTTTGTATGTTGATTTTGTGCTCTGCAACTTTGGTGTATTCATTGATTATTCCTAATAGTTTTGGGGTGGATTCTTTGGGTTTTATATATATAGAATCATGTGATCTGCAAATAGTGAGAGTTTTACTTCTTTGTCTCCAATTTGGATCCCTTTTGTTTCTTTGCTCTGGCTAAAACTTCCAGTACTATGTTGAATAAGAGTGGTGAGAGCGGGTATCCTTGTCTTGTTCCTGCTCTCTGAGGAACAGCTTTCAAGTTTTCATCATTGATTATGTTGTTGGCTGTGCGTTTGTCATGTATGGGCTTTATTATGTTGAGGTCGTTTCCTTCTATACCCATTTTATTGACAGTTTTTTAAATTATAAATGAATGTTGGACCTTGTCAAATGCTTTCTCTGCATATATTGAGAATGATCTTGTGACCTGTTTCTCTTCATTTGTTAATGTGAAGTATGAACATTGAATGATTTGTGGATGTTAAGCCATACCTGCATCCCTGGAATAAACCCCACTTGATCATGGTGTATGATCCTCTTAATGTATTGTATTCAATTTGCTAATATTTTGTTGGGGGAATTTTGCATCTATGTTCATCAATGATATTGGCCTGTAATTTTCTTTTTTTGTGTGTTGTCCTTGTGTGGTTTTAGTATCAGGGTAATGTTGCCCTTGTAAAATGAGTTAGGAAGCATCCTGTCCTCTTCACTTCACAGCGTCTGAGAGGATAGGTATTAAATGTTCTTTGAATGTTGGTAGAGAACATTCAGAGACAGAGAAGCTGTGTGGTCCTGGACTTTTGTTACTTTGAAGTTTTTGATTTCTGTTTCAATCTCTTCACTTGTAATTGGTCTATTCAGATTCTCTGTTTCTTCTTGATTCGGTTTTGGAATGTTGTGTGATGCTTAGAATTTGTTCATTTCTTCCAGGTTATCTGACTTATAGGCCTATAGCTTTTCATAGTGTTCTCTTATAATCCCTTGTATTTCTGTGGCGTCTGTAGTAATTTCTCCTCTTTCATTTCTTATTTTATTTATTTGTATCTTGTATCTTTTTTTTTAGAGAGTCCTGGTAAGGGTTTGTCAATTTTGTTTATCTTTTCAAAGAATGAGCTCTTACTTTCATTGGAGCTTTCTATTGTTTTTGATCTCTATTTATTTCTGCTCTAATTTTTATTATTTCCTTCCTTCTACTGACTTTAGGCTTTGCTTGTTCTTTTTCTAGTTCTTTTAGATGTATTGTAAGCTTGTTTATTTGAGATTTTTCTTGTTTCTCAGGTAGGCCTGTATTGCTGTAAACTTCCCTCTCTACCACTTTTACTGCATCCCTTAATTTTTGGTATGTTGTGTTTTAATTTTCCTTTGTCTCCAGAAATTTCTTGATTTCTCCTTTGATTTCGTCATTGATCCAGTAGTTGTTCACTAGCGTGTTGCTTATTCTCCATATGTTTGTGACTTTCTCAGCTTTTTTCTGGCAGTTGATTTCCAGTTTCATAGCGGTGTGGTTGGTAAAGATGCTTGATATGATTTCAATCTTCTTAAATTTACTGAGGCTTGCTTTGTTTCCCAACATATAGTCTACCTTTGAGAAAGTTCCATGTGCACTTCCATATCTTCCACTGTTTTTGATGGAATGTTCTTTATATATCCATTAAGTCCATCTGGTCTAGTGTTTCATTTAAGGCCACTGTTTCCTTCTTGACTTTACAGGAACTGTCCGTTGATGTAAGTGTGGTATTAAAGTCCCCTACTAATATTGTGTCGCTGTCAATTTCTCCCTTTAGGTCTGTTAATAATTGCTTTATATACTTTGGTGTTACTATCTGAGGTTTATCTATATTAATAAATGTTGTATCTTTTTCATGGTTTCTTCCATCTATCATTATATAATGACCATCTTAGTCTCTAGTTATCTTTTTTGGCTTGAAGTCTATTTTGTCTGATATTAGTATGGCAACACCCACAGTTTTTGGTTGTCATTTCCTTGGGGTATCATCTTTCATCCCTTCACTCTGAGCTTATGTTTATCTTTAGAGCTGAGATGTGTTTTCTGGAGGAAGCATATTGTTGGGTCTCAGGTTTTAATCCATCCGGCCACTCTGTGTCTTTTGATTGGTGAATTCAATCCATTTACATTTAGAGTGATTATTATATATGAGGGCTTCATACTGCCATTTTATCTTTTGTTTTCTGCTTGTTCTATATTTCCATTGTTTCTTTTTCTTGTATTTCTGTCTTCCATTTCAGTTTGGTGGTTTTCTGTGATGTTTTCCTCAGTTTTGTCTTGATTTATGATCTGTGACTGTGCTCTGATTTTTTGTTTCATAGTTATCATGAAGTTTGTATGAAGGATCTCAGAGATCAGGTAGTCCTTTTTCTGATAGCCTCTTATCTCCAATAGCCTATGCTTGTTCTATCCTTTCTCTCTTTCCCATGTACCTTATTGTTGTTATTAATTATTCCATTTTTTGTGTTGTGAGTTTGTGACCAAATTGAAGTATGTATAGTTATTTTTGATGCTTTCTTTCCCTTTAGCCTTCATGTTATAATTAAGTGTTTACTAACCTATTCTGATAGAGATTTTAAATTTTCTGATTCTGTCTATTTATCACCTTGCTCAAAACTTTGTAAAGCTTTGCTTTGTTGTTTCATGTAGGAGGGATCCTTTCAACATTTCTTGTAAGGCAGATCTCGTGGCGATATACTCCCTCAGCTTCTGGTTGTTTGTGAAAACTTTTATTTCTTCGTCACATCTGAAGGATAATTTCCCTGGATATAGTATTCTTGGCTGTTAGTTTTTGTCTTTCAGTATGTTGAGTATATTATTCCACTCTCTCCTGCCCTGTAGGGATTCTGCTGATAAGTGCACTGAAAATCTAAAGGGGAGTTCCTTTGTGAGTTGTGTTCTTCTCTCTTGCTGCCTTTAATATTTTTCCTTTGTTATTGACTTTCGACAGTTTTAATATTACATGCCTTGGAGAAGGTCTTTGTGGATTGATGCAATTAAGAGTTATGTTGGCTTCAAGGACTTGCATGTCCAGTTCCTTTTCCAGGTTTGGGACGTTCTCAGGTATTTCCTGCAGCTGATGGAGCTGGTGTTGGTGGTGCCACCAGTGGGGGCTGAATCACTGGTTGTGCTGTGGTTCCTGATGCTTCTGGTCACAGGTCCGCTGTACACCCATAGGTGGAGAGCAGGGGCTGAGCCAGGAGAGGTTGTTTTTTCTGCTTCTTCATGCAGCCTCTGGTCTCTGGTGCTAGTTGGTGTGTTTTGAAAACTCAGGTCAAGCTAGGCCACTCCTGCCAGGAAAATCTGAGTTTTTTATACTATCCCTACCTTGGGAAGACCTGGCCACTGCCAGGAGAGGGGGAGGGGACATACATGCTGGATCCCCTGGAAGACAGGAAGGGACACACTGATTTTGCTCCGACCACATCTGCTTGCAGTTGTGCGAGGCATGATGCACACTTCCTCTCCTCCCGCTGTGCCAGCTCTTTCTGCTCTTCTCAGAGTTGCATGAGCAGTGGTGCCTGCTGTTTATGCTCCACTCGCAGTCATGCTAGCCATGGTATCTGCTATTTCTTCTCCACTTGCAGTGACTGTTTGCAGGTGCATGTGCTGGCATAAGGATCCACACCCTGGATTGCTGCTGCCAGGCGAGGGAGAGGTGTCTGTTCCCCTAGTTCCACTGCCTCCGAGGATTGCAGTCCACCTCCCTTCAGATGTACAGATGTATGGATGTCTTATGCACCTTGTTTTGCTGTGTAGGGAATCCCCTGTTGATGAATGGATGCTTGATCGGTTGTAACTTAGAGGAGAGAGACAGAGGAACAGCTCTCTCCACTATGATGCTGATGTCAGTCTCCTACCTCTTGTGATTTTTATGTTTCAATAACTTGTTTGTATCTACTATTGTGGAACCAGATTCAGTAAGAAGAACAAGGACAACATAAATCCTTGTATATACATGCCTTTTGGAAACGGACCCCGAAATTGCATCGGCATGAGGTTTGCTATGGTGAATATGAAACTTGCTCTTGTCAGAGTGCTGCAGAACTTCTCCTTCAAACCTTGTAAAGAAACACAGGTCAGACAGTTAACATTCTGCATAAATAATGTCTTATTGGGAGTTTTTTTTTTTTTTTTTACTTGGGGTCGGGTCTTTCTCTCTTTATAGGAAAGAATGTGTTCTATTCAAAGAATAATTTACTACTGTCCAGAGAATCTGTTTGGAGCCATCTGTGACTTTAGGGCCCTTCAACTCTGGACTGCTAAGTCTGTGGTGTTAAAAGACCCAACTATAAAGGTCATCTAGAGTCAATTCAATTAGCATGACAGGAAGATGTGCAGGCCTTTGAACTAGAGCAAAGTTTTAAACTCTCTTTCAAGTCCACTGGAAGGAAGGGGAAGTGTTGTGAATAGCCATGAAATACAGAAATTACCACATCATGACTTTTGAATGATACTCTTCTCCACCAGACCTTAAAGAAGATTTGCGAGAACAGTTCTCAACCACTCTCAATATAATGAAATCAATGGGGAGCTTTAAAAAATGCTGATGCCTAGGTCATCTCAGAAATTCTAAAATAGCTCATGAGAGTGGGGCTTAAAAGCACCCCTGTTGTATCTCATGTGTAGCCAAAGTTGAGAATCGTTGATTTAAAGCTTCTCTGCCAGATGTGAAGGACTCCCACAACCAGGGTCATCCTGGGTATTTGACCTCACCTTACAGGAACCCTGCTCCAGTCAAGCTTGGCTCCTTTTACATCCTCATAATAACTTGATGAATATTCGTCCTGCTTTCCTCCACATTCTGTTCCCATCCTTCAAGTCAAATTTCATCCCCCAAACCCCTCCATGGAGCCTTCCCCATATAGTCTAGGAGCCCATTTTCTCCTCTGCTCTGTTATGAGTTTCTGCAGGCTGGTATCATTGGTCAGACCACCTAAGCTAATAGTTTGTCATTAAACCATCCTGTTTGGTTCTCTATGTTTTCTTTGTACGTAAGAATGTCTTTAACTCTAGCTGGTGCCTTGAAGTCATCCACTAAATGCTTAAGGAGTCATTTGAGTTGATTTCGAGCTCTTGGACACAAATTTTGAACTATTTTAACTATAAAAATGTAAATGACATTTGTGTATGTGCATGTTGTATGTGTGTGTGTCTGTCTGCAAGGGAAATATATGTATGTCATGTTAAATTATAAAATAACAAGGTTTTATATTTATAGAAAGATCTGGAATCTCTCCTCTGGAGAACATAAAGAATGGTTGCCATTGATTCAAGTCCCTATAATAAGGATTATTTCTAGGACTCGTGCATTTAATAGTTAAGTCCTCCCCTTAAATAAGTTCTCTTCAGGGGAGCAGAGTGGATAGAGATGGTTTCCATCTTAGTTTTCACTTTAGGGAAATTGTGTGGCAGTCCTGTAAGTGTGTACAAACAGGGGACTCAGTCCTGAGAGAAAGTCAGCCTCTGACACACCTGGGGTGGGCAGACACTCCCTATAAGCTCCCAGTCATCCACAGACTGGTGCTTCTCACCCTCCATGACAATTTGCTTGCCCTTCAGTCAACTGAGTCCCAAAGATGACTCTGCTGCTGGCTCAACCACCACTGAAGGAATGACTGGGTGAGAATGAAGCTAAAACTATCAGTCAAAACACTGTAGGTGAGAAGTTCACCATTTGCACTACACGTGGGATCCAAGAGATGTTAGAAAACAGGCATAATGCTTCACAAAGACCCCTTCCCATCATGAAACTGGATGAGTTCCACTGGGAGTGATGACTGGACTCTTTAGAAGTTGAGGATGGTTCATACAATTAAAATGTCTCATACTCATTCAGGAGTACTTTGCAAGTTCCAACATACAGAAAATTAATTCTATATGTCTTTTCACAATAGTTTGCCATAATCCCTTAAGGAATCTGGGTTTACATTTAATAGTTCCATTCACTTTTACTTAAAAATTTATGTTCAAAAATGAAGAGAAGCCAACATGATTTTGTCTCTGACCTGCTTCAAAATGGTCCTGCATGGATATTTTGTTGAATGAATGGATGGATGAAAGCTTTACTGTCCAGTCTCATGCAGCTTATAGACTAAAATATAAAGAGTCAAAGATATGTGATGTTAAAAGTAGTTTATATGTTTTAAAAGTATTATTGTCCTTAATGTATCTCATCTACTTTGCTTCTGTTGTTGGGAGAGTTTGTCAGTCAGTTAACACATGGTTGTTTAACTTTTGCAGATTCCCCTGAAATTAGGCAATCAAGGACTTCTTCAACCGCAAAAACCCATTGTTCTAAAGGTTGAGTCCAGAGATGGGACCGTCAATGGAGCCTGACTCTCCCTAAGGACCTCCATTTTGTTATTCAGGGAAACTTTATTCCAGAACCCCAGAGACATCAATTTCTTTTGTGAATAAAACCCAGAATGAAGATGGGCTTAGCCTACTGCACTTGATGGATGCCTAGGGATTCTTACATCCATTGCACTTTCTTAGTGTCTGTGTAGAGTATTATAGGTTGTGTAATAAAAAGGAGGGGACTAAGTAAGCACCAGAAATGTGGACTCAGCTTATCTGGTTCTCACAGGATGGTCTCCATCCACCCCCACTTAGTACCATCTACTCTTCCTGAGCACTAATCAAGAATAAAGTTTCTCAACAATTTTATTAGCAAACTTTAATGAAAACAAGAATTATTGTGCTGATTGTCATAGTGACATTTATATCACATGTTAATTTTGAATCTTCTATGAAGTATTATATACTGAGCAAGTCAATAAACATCTCTTTGCTAAAGTGTTATCTGTTGCCTTTGTGCACATTAGGGGGAATCAACAGAACTGAATCAATGAGAGGCAGTGAGTAAATGTTTTTGACAATCACAATCACCAGTTGGGTGGGCCTTTTCCAGAACTCTCCTTTGATACATTAATATAGATGAGAGTTAATCCACTGTGACTTTGCCTGTTCCTTAGAAAGTATATTCATAGTTTAATCTCCCTTTTTGGGGGCACACATTTTTTGTAACACTCAACTAGGGCACTTATTACATTGTTTTGATTTAATTTTTGCATCTCATCTCCCCTGACATCTCTGAATGGCAGGAATCATGTTTGCTTCTAACACTTTTTACTCCATCCAAAACTAAATGATTGGTTGGTCAATTGATTGGACAGAAAGGCCACTAGTTTTCATCACTTTCAGTTGGTATCAGAAGCTGCACAGGTTCTTCCTTTTCCTTTTTTGCCCCTCCCTTCCCCTTCCTTCCTTTTCTCTTCCTGGATAATTCAGTCCTAAAGCCAGTAGGTAGGGAACAGCAAGGTTGGCAGCCACACAGTGGGGGCCAGGGGCAGAAACAGGAGTCACAGTGGCTCCAAGTCAGAGCAGAGTAGGGTGAAGGGTGTGTAGAGGGAGGGGCAGGCTGGCATGGGTGTGGGAGACAAGCAGGGTGACTCGGGGGTCCACGCAGAGCAGTGGGCTGGTGAGAGCAGCCTGAGCCTAGATAGGGTGTAGAGAACCCAAGTATGGTGAGGAGGGCATCCATGAGTGGAAAGGGGTGGAGTGGGGATTGACCACGTAAAGGGGGGATTGATCAAATAAGTAAATATATTAAGGATGATGGAAGCCAGGTTTCCCATTGTTGGGGAAGGGAATCACTGAGTTGGAAAGGGAGAGAACCTTTCCAAATGGAACCCTGAGGAGCCAGAGATGGAAACTTAATATATCAGTGTAAATTCATGTTTTCTGTATAGTATATGGTTGATAGACAGGAAGGTGTATGTGTGTGTGTGTGTGTGTATGTGTGTGTACGTGTGTTTGTTTCGATATAAAAACATATCACTCCTGCTTGTCTCCACTAATAGTACTTAGAAAGAGTGACACCCTAATAGCAATCACACACCTCGTGCCCAGGTATTGGCTTATAGATACTATTTTTTGCTAAAAGGAACCAAGGCTCCTTAGAGAAATGGCTGATTTCAGGGCTGGGACTGGGAAAGTACAGGATGAGCCTGAAAGATTTTGTGGTGCTAGGAGGGAAGAGGATGCTAAAGTGTGATGGTGACATGTCAACAGGGCCCAGAAGCCAACCTGAAGGGCTTCCACTGACCAATTCAGAGACAATTTGAGCATCATAATAGAGAAAGATGGTCAGAGATTATGACCCACTGTATAAAGGGAAAACATTAATACATACAATATGTATAAATAAATGAATAAATTGCAATTTGATGAACATAATTACACAGTTTCAAAGTGCTGCTGCTCAAAATACCCATTAATTATAATGGCAAAGTGTAGCTTCACGGTGAAGACTGGGAGACACCCCCTTAATCAAATGATGAAAGACAGCATCATCAGGAACAGGGGGAGTTGATTGAGTGTCACCTGATGGGTTTGCAGAGAGAACTTATTGTCACCTCTGTGACAGTCCTGCCAAGGAGGGAAGCCTGAAAGAAATCCTGAAATAGTCAGACAAACCCAAACTGAGGAATATTCTAGTCCTCCTCATCTGTGACTGGTTTATAACCTTCAAAAGAGTCAAGGTCATGAAAGCCAAAGACTGAGGCAGGGTTCCAGACTGAAGGAGACTAAAGGGAGGTGACATTTAAACACAGCACATGGTTTGGGTCCTTCTGCTATGAAGGACATTGTTGGGACAACTGGGGGGATTCAATGGGGAGTTAGGGTTAGATGGCAGTAACGTAGCAGCATTAACTCCCTGACTTTGATGGTCGTATTGGGGTAATGTAGGAGAATGTCCTTTTCATAGGAAATACAGGGGGTTATAAAGTATTGGGTTGGCAATTTACTCTGAGATGGTTCAGGAAAATAGTTCCTTGAACAGTCTCTTCTGTAAGTTTATGATTGTTTGTGGGGTAAGAACCACAGAGGCACCTTTTCACTTATCCAGCTTTCCTACCCTCTCACCGTAGTCTTACTTGTATTATTTTAATATGATGAGGCAACACCTCGTGGTGATTGAGAGATGGGGGCTCTGAAGCTGGATCTCCTGAGTTGTGAATCCCAGCTCAGTCCAGGGCTGAGTCTGGACCAACCAATGGCTTTGGGCAAATGCTTAAACTCCCAGCTGAAGTGGCTTTAGTTTGGACAAAGGGTGATTCTATAGAGAATGGGGCAGCTATGAGCTAGTAACAGCCCATACTCCCAGCACCTGGGGATAGGTGTGCAGCCCAGGGAAGGGGACCTGGCACCTTCCTACACTACATACATTTACAAGTGCAACCTGGAACACGTTGCTTAATACCTTCCTACCTTCGTACTTAGTGCCTCAGGGTCCCCATTGTGAAATAGGGGAATAACACACTACCTACCTCAAGTGACAATGGAATCAGATGATGTGTGTGGAGTATTTAGGACACAGACCACGGGGCAGGAAGTGAGCACTTAATACATGTCAGCTATTATTTTCATAGACATATTATCCTCCATCCTCAGGGAGTTGAAGTTTGGGCTCCAGTATGATCCACTCCAGCTTCGTCTTCCGTTTTAGAAAATAATTGCTTACATCTTTCTCGGAGGTTTAAGTATGCAGTCATTGGTGTCACAACTAATGCTGTTCAATAATTTCCCTAAGAACAACATAAACATCCCCATTTTAGGAGTGCCTTTGTCATAGCAACTAAGTGTAGGCAACTTTGTGGGGGATGCGTTGAAGTCGGTCAAGGGAAATGCTCTCACTGCATTCATGTGGGCCCTTTCCTCCCCTCCCTTAGAATTGCTTTTCTGGTCCCAGAGTTCTGACAAGTCTCTCTAGTCATGTCCAGGCTGTGTGGTGTCCCAGATACATGAAAAGCTAGGATGAGACAGATTTATCCCTACAGGGCTCAAAGACAGGCAGGACCAGGGAATTGTTGAGTCAGTGCTGGTTTCTTCAGGGATTCACTTCATCTTCTCTGAGGGACTAGCTGAGAACTTCTGCAGAGTGAGCGATGATCCGTTGATCTCGTAGGCCCTCATTTGGGTGTCTGAACTTCTACCTTCACTTCTTTAGGCCAAGAATTGTCCTCTTCACGGAGTATGGTTTGAAGATGCAAAATGTCCTTATAAGTGTCATAGTGTGAGTCTGTATATCATTCTATATCATCTACTTATCTATATATCTGTCCATAACTCTCAATCATGTATCTATATTTTCCTCTTTACCTACCATTTATCTATATCGATCTATCTCTCTCTTATCCATTTCTGCATCTATATCTATCTACCTACTTATCTATCATCTATCTACATTTATTTATCTATACATATCTATCTATCTATCATCATCATCTTTGTATCTAGCTAGAAAGGCAGAAGTGACTTTGGAGACCCAGGCATTCCAGCCCCCAGCTGTTTGAGTCTTTCCAACCCAGACACGTGAGGAGAGCCTTTGTGATGACCCAGATCCAGCCTGCCTGCAGCCACATGAGAGACCCCAAGCAAGAGCTGCCATGTGAGTCCAGTCAACGCCAGATTCATGTGCAAAATAAAGGATCATCATTGTCCTGTCTTTCAGGTAGTAAATTATGCCACAATAGATAATTTGAACATCCTTTCTTCACTTAAGGTAGAGTAAGATGTATAGGACCCAGAAGAGAGATGAGAACTGAGGGAAATTGGATGAAGCAATGAACCTTTAAGTTACTGTGAATCACTGGAAGCAGCAGTGGGGTAGCAGGTCAGCTCAGAGGAAGGTCTGCCAAGGTCTAAGTGAGGTGACAGTAGGAGTCACATGGAGAAAAGGGAAGGGGATGGTACTGACTTTATTGAGTACTTATCATGTGCAGCGTCTCCTCAACACCAAGCCTTCGTGTTCCCACAATACCTTTCAGTAGGGAACTCTGTGGCTGTAGGCTGTCCAAAGCACCCCGAATGATTCTTTCCTCCCGCCATTCACAACCTTGTGTGCTCTCCTTCCACATGAATTGGCCTGACCTCTGAATATCCTCTGAAGCCACTAGGATATTGTGGAGATGATAATGTTTGACTTCTGAGGCTGAGTCATAAGAGATGTAGATGCTCCACCTTGTTCCCTCTTGATCATTCACTCTGAGGGAAGCCAGCTGCCGTAATGTGAGGACACTCAAGTAGCCACATGGCAAGGAACTGAGACCTCCTGCCACAATTAGTCCTGACTTTCCAGGCTCATGACTGAGCTACATTTGAAATCGATTATTTAGCCCAGTCCAGCTTTCAAATGATGGCAGTCCCTGCCAACAGCTTGGCTGCAATCTCATGAGAGACTCTGAGCTGGAACCACTCACTGAAGTCACTGCTGAATTCCTTACCCAGAGAATCGGGGATAAAAAATTGTTAAGTGACTAAGTTTTAGAGTAATTTGTGACAGGGCAAACTGTAACTAATACAGAGATAGAGGAGCTGAGACATCATCTTGGATGGCTGCAGCAGAGAACTCTGAAGACTGTCCAGGGACAAGACTGTCAGCTGAAATTTCTGGGCAAGTGAGGGACTTAGTTTTAGTGGTGATGTCTCTGTGTGTGTGTGTGTGTGTGTTTACAGGGGTATGAAGACAACTGCGAAGGGTGTGGTCCCAGCAGTTGTCCTGAAGGGAGGTTGAAGATACTGCTGCCAATAGAGTGTAGCAGTTGAGAAGACAGCTCTCCCTGGA